TTAAAAAAAAAAAAAAAACATGGGCAGTAGATGAACAATTGATTTTGGCCGACCTGTTTAGTACAAATCTAGCTTCTTGACAACTAAATCTATGCCGCAAAATCTGACAACTTCAATATGTTAACTAATGTCAACTAATCCATGCCGCAAAATCTGACACCAAATTTAAGTGTGTATAAGGTATCATACATACAAATATGCCCAATTTATTTTGAAGACATCATTAATATATAAATTATATATAGTTTTCAGCATATTATTAATATTATTATGATAATATTTTTATCATTGCATTTTCATCACATCAGTCACAACTTTCCAAAATCTTTTGTTTGATTGGGGTAGAGAAAATAAGACTTTGATCTTTTTAAATAATAACATAAAATGAATCTATTATTCAATGGAAGAAAAATGTGGTACTACACTGCACAGCCCATCTAAAATTTGGGCCTACCTTGACACCGTATTGAGCCCAGCTCTCCCAGGCCTTTAATATACTTAAACAAGCAGCCCAAGCAGCCCATCCTTACGTGGGGCAGATGCATGTTAATGTCGAGTTTGAGCCAATATGTTTGTGCAATTGTTATTTGAAAAAATACACTCTTTTAACATATCTTTTTTTTACAGGAAATGTATCTGCATTTCATGTGTATGAAATGAGATTTGCCAATTTTCCATAATAGCTAAGTACTATTTTAGAAGAGGGGCAATTGTGTCTTTTGACGATGTCTCCACGAGATTCTCGTCTTTTGTTTTCCCCCACAGAACTGTATAGAACCCTGCCGTAATAACTATGGACCCGATCACACTGTAAAACAAATTCGATAAAAAAACGAACTAGTTACCATAGAAAGAGAAAAAAATGCAGTCGATACTTCAAAATTACTACTAATTTATTTTACGCAAACTATTGGTGCCGAAAATTTACCTTCCCAAGTAGAGATCGTCACCGAGGAATATGACACCCAAAATGGCTGCAATGGCTATTGATAAAGGCCTGAACAAGGCTACATAAACGGGCCCTTTCACGTGCAGTCCCCAAGTGTGGACCATTATACTAAGCCCAGTTCCAATTACTCCCTAATATCAGTAGACTCGAATTATTTACCCAGCCAACTAAGGCTGTGTTTGGTAAGCATATAAGCTAGCTTATGGCTGATTTGATTAGCTTATAAGCTTCCTATATTCAAATAAGCTCGGTTTGGTAGGACGAGATTTTTTAAAAAGTTCGAGCTTATCTCATAAGTTTCCTTGGTTGCTTTTCAAATAAGCCCGTTGAAATTTTCAGCTAATTTTACCAAACACTTTTGATATATAAGTTAGCTTTTCAGCCATAACTCATAAGCTACCAGCTATAAGCTCGAGATTCAGTTAAAAGCTAGAGTTTATCAGCTAGGCTTACCAAACACAGCCCAAACATAGCCCAAGAAACAAAATTTATTCTAGAAAAAATATGTTTTCATCTTATGGTTCGGTTCTTTCTCACCGAGTACAAAATCGACCACAACCGAACATCAACGTGTATTTCCCACGGACTCAAATTTGGCTCGGTGGCAATACCTACGGCCAAGGACATGAAGAAAGCAAAAAGACTGTAGAAAAACACCAATATAAACTCTGCTGGATACTCTACAACAACTTTACTCTGCCACAATCAATAACAAACGATCAAAATAAATAAATAAATCGTAAAAAACGGATATACAAGAAATGTCCGAAAAAGTATAACCTGGTAAATGTACCAACAAGAGGATACAACATAACAGCCCGCGAGTAAGCCACCACCCACTATCCAATTAGAGCGAGCATCAGATATAGCATCCGAAAGAGTCGAGGCATTAGATAGTGTTAATTTGTCATGATTGCCAGTTATAAGCAATGGGCCGTTATAGAGTACAACTACTAAAGCACCAGATATCGACACAAGGGTCCCCACGATTTTCGCCTGGCTACTTAAACTTCCCAGTTTTAGCTTTTCAAGCCTAACAGAGGCAGAAAAGAAAAAAATATATGAAACATAAATCCTTTAATGCCTTTTAAAAGAATATGTAGTATGAAAAAGGGAAGCACATAGCAATATTTCCCATTCGACGTAGCAATTTCTATTTATAGAAACAACATAAACATTTCAAGTTAGAACTTAACAAGCTCATGTTAATTCGAGTTCGAGTGAGAACAAAAACCTGAAAAGAACCGCGAGCAAAAAGGTGCAAGGAGCAGAGAGATTGCTCATGGCTGAACCCAAAGTTGGATTACTGTATGCAATGCCTAAATATCCCAAGTATTGCCCTGCAAATCTGCACTCAAAATCTACACTTTCAGCCCAAAAAAAGTTTAAAAAATCAAATAAAATAAAATTGCAATCATAATAATATATAATACAAGTGTAAGGCAGCCTAATGGTAAGGCGGATCGACCTGCAATAATTTTCCATTTTTTTTAACAAAATACAAAATTATACTGAGAAATATCATGCTTTTGTTACACAAATTCTTCTGTTTATATGTCCTTTTTTTTAAAAAAAATATGACCATTTTATTTTGAACATATACACATTTGTACACAAAGTGTTCATATAAATGTAATATTGGAAAACATATGGCTAACTAATCTTCCGCCAAATAACAACCTTAATGAATAAATATATATTTAGCATATAATTAATGGGAAATGCTGAGGTCCGAACCTTTTTATAACCGTTAGATCATCATGTAACCGTTAGAGATAGTTGATCTAACTGCTACAAATCTCGATGGGATGGTTCCATAACGGAACCGTAGCATCTTTCATAATTATATATTTAAATAAATAAATAAATAAATAAATAACAAGAAAAAAAAAAAATAGCATACCCAAGAAACGCAAGGATGCAAAATTTGCCAAGCATGACAATAGAAAGTGGAGGGAGCCTTGTTTCCCTGTGCAAATAAAAACCCAGTAATTATTGACAATAATAACAGCAATAATCTGAAATTTTAATCACTAATTATGCTTTAAACTGGATATTCACAGAACCTGTGGAAAAGGCAGGCTAGAGGAAGAAGGACGAGGGCAGAAATGGCATAAGAGTACACCATAAAAACGTGGTAGTTGAGGCCCTTTGTGACGGCGGCTTTGTAAATCGTGTTTTGGCCGACGTT